TAATGTGCCCGGAAGAGAGCTTCCCGTGAGGTGGCGACGGGGCCTTGTAAACATTTTAGGACAAGCTTCCGCAACCTGAATAGGATATGAGCAGCGACGAAATTTGGCAGGTTCATGAAAATCCATGCTTTACCTATTCGCAAGCTTTCCTAAAAAAAATCCACGCTTGGAGACCATTAACAGGGAGCACATATTATAATACCTACCGGTCATGGTTAGCAGTGTGTTCCGGTACAACGGCACCAGCGTGACCTACCCGTTGGGAAGGCCAATAGCCTCTAGCGGCCCGGAAAGAGATACCTAGTAGCGATCCAGTAATGTGGAGGGTTATTGGGCGCTTCTGCACGCAACGCAATACGTACTGTAATGATTTACTACAGGGGTTATGGGGTCACAGCGGTATTGCGATCATATCCTGGCCCCAGCGGCCACGTGGATCTGACTCTGATGACAAGAGATCCCCTGGACTTCAGGGGGGATGGCTTGCGTCAATGCGAGGTACCTCTAAGTACCTGACCAGGGTAGAAGTAAAGGTTGGGATGGAAGCCTTTGGGCTCATTTTACTTGCTTCCCACTATCACGGCCGTAAGCCAAGGCTTTCGCAGGCTTCACTAAGGACCTCCCATTCCGAATCGCCATGAAAGGCTGTGCGATGCGACACGGACTACCCGCTGTTTTCCGTGAGTATTTCGGCAGGCCAGACTGTCACCTGAATTCTTCAGTGCGAGGATGTGGGGGTTCAGACGGTACTGCATCATACATCTCACATCTCAACATGCGCCGGCGTTCCGCGGCGGAGCCCATGTTTACCATAGATAATTTTCGAGCTGAGATCGTACGTGGTGAGAGAACTAAACAAACCACAACCATTCAACACCCAGGTATCATAAGCTCAGCTCCGCTTTAGCCGCCTACATCAAATGGGCGTGGGGTTTCTTCCTAGCGGGTCCAGAGCAACGAGGCCACAGCAATTCTGGGTAGGCTCTTACTGCGATCAACTCCAACAATTACTAGAGTATGGTACGCGCTGATCCCTCTCGTCACAACCGCATCTACGCATCCATTCATGTTTTTGGCGGTGTGCACTCAAGAAAAAAACGGAGCCTCCACATTGTGTACATGCTCGCTACAAGCACTCGGAATGACGAATCGAGCATCAACAACCAGTCCGACGACGGGAACTACGGGATACGCTATATACATCATGAATTGGTTGAATTGTTTCAGGCACCAAAGTAATGGTTTAGCAGCTACTGGGCGTTTTAATTAATGAGTTTAGCTTGACACCGACACCGCCTCGCCTGCTTCTTGAGAAGGGCGAATACTTACAACATAGCCTAGCATAGCAATTTAGTTGGTGGGTTCCAAATGAAGCGGCGTCGAAGCCTCACGATAACGTCTGTGCCAGCACACTGGGGCGCGACTTTTTGGTGAGATGTCATCCTATGAGTCCACTCGCACAGGTCCACTTAGAAAGATACCGTCACACTTGTCCAGCGTTTTTTTCTTCTTCTTCTCTTCCTCAGCCCCCTCTTCCCTTACGATCACCTAATGCAAAATCCTGCATCTTCATTTACTGCTTTTTAATTGTATTTCTAATACTATTTTCCTTTTCTTTGATTAACAACCTCGTTCCTGCAGTAGGGTAGTTGCCTCTGTGTCACGGCGGGCGGCTTAAGGCTTTTTTTTTTTTTTTTTTTTTTTTTTAATTATAACAGAGAAAATAAATCTCTTCTTAATTAATGTCGTTACTTTTTGGGGGTGTGGTCTGCACGTCCGTGGAAAGGGTATCCCGACCGTGACCAGTGTACACGGAATATACCATGATTATTTCCAGTGGTCTATCGTATTTATCAAATGCGGTCGTGCACCAACCATCCTATCCCTCTTCCGCCAAAAGCTTGGCTCTTGTCGTAATGGGGTTAGCGGAGTTCGCCTTATTTGGCTTGGTTGATCACCGTGGACACTGAATGAAAGACATGTTCGGAATTAAACCGCTACTTTTTACTCGCACTGACGGCGATGGATATTACCGACTTGTCGATGACGCTGTTTATCTACGGTACTTCCCATCTTGTCTCCAAGCCCCAAGGCCTTCCCCACGCGCCGCCTCGACTTTTGGGAAGCTGATCTTCGCCGGGGTGGTCTAGGTCGTGCATACTCGCAGGTCACGCATTCGCCAGCTACTACGTCGGGCTTGCGCCAACTGTCCATGGTTACTCAGGTCGGCGACCAGGCAAATTGACAACTGCGAAGATCCTTTTTTCTTGGCGACCTCATCTCTTGGCAACCTGCAACTGGCGATGCTGTGTTCACACATCCACAAGGGAAAGCTGCTGCATGTCTTGGAGATCGTTCTTCCGACCCAGCAGCCAGCCAGTAGCCAAGCAGCCAAGCACTTGCGAGAACCCGATGTTCCTTGGACAGGTCTCGTAATGTGGCATTCGACATTGCCATCGATTCGGGTCCTTGCAGCCTCTTTCTCCTATTCAGGCCTCATCGCGAACCCGTAGATAGCAAGATAGATATCCTGCCGCCTCCCTTCCCGCATCCCAAGCCCCCAATTAGCTGCCTACATACACGTAACCAGACCGGACATTTCTTTTTGTCTTTTTCTTTTTTGTTTTGTTCAACGGCGCGCAAAGTTTTGCCCCGTATCCATGGCCTTGGGATAATGTCGATGATAAGGACTCCTTTACACGAAAGCTCGTGATCCCGCGGCGTACAAAAGGTGTTTCTTTAGAAACGTGTAATTGCACTCTCCGATTCATAACCGAGACCCACGGTAAGCCACTATTGCTCTATTCAGCTGTCGTAGGATCGATAGCTATGCCTTTCTCAGGACCAGTAGGAGCGCTCAAGGGCATATGTGATATACGTAACCTAGTTGCTCGCTGGACTTGATTTTTGGGATGGGCTATGGGGGCGAGAGAAACAGCAGGGTCCGTGAGGGACAAAATCTCGGCGGAACGGAGGTAAGGGAGGTTCCGCCTGCTTAGTTTCCCTTTTTTTTTTTCCATTCTTTGCATAGCTAGGAGATAAAATTCCAGCTCACTATCTAACATGGATTGTCTGTTCCACCTGAAGGGACCCTACCCCCTTCGCTGGGCTTTCCGCCTCCCCCAACGGCGGACGCCATGGGGGCCGATCCCCATATGAACAGCGGACAACTCTCATCCACTACAATCGCGGTGAATTGGCTACTTTGCTGCTCTGTGTTACGGGATAGCTAAGGTAGCTACGTAAATACCATTCTCTGGGATAGGTACCGGTAGAGTGTACATACATTCAATCACATCAGAATGATCGGCAATGTGCCCAGACGGCCCGAGTCGGCATTTGGAAAAGCCAATATACCATTACGAGTATCGTGCGAGGCCGCTTTTTTCGCAAGATTTATGCGTTTCAGGTCTTCACCTGCTGCACGTAGTTTTAACAAACAAGCAAACGATAGGTAGACAGACCTAGGTGAATTACATAGATGCGTCGTCAGTGGTGGGTGGGTAATGGGTTGAGATACAGGCTACCCAGGTAAGAGATCTCCATCGAGGATATTCTGTCACTTTTTTTTTGGTCTGTTTTCTATCTCTTTTTACTACCTACCACTTTTTTCCCCACAACCCGGGAAGATGCTGCCGCTCCCGTGATCGCGAGTCTTGTGTAAGATCGATACTTTTGTGCTGGGTTCTTGTATAACGGCTGGCGGCTCGCTCGGTAGTATGGTTTAATGCTTGCTACCTACCTACCTACCTGTTCCCTATGGCATAAGTACTACCTATCTAGGTAGGTAACTGTACTGAAGATGAACGGAGATCGGGCACTCGGTTCATCTGGTTCTACGGGGTATGTCTCGCATCGCCTTATTTTTTTTTGGTTTGAAAACACCTACCTACTTACTTACACTATTATGACGGGTATGCTCGTCATTGATTTCTACACTATTTTGATTTTATTTTTTTAATTCTCCGTAGGGGAAAAAAGTTGAAGGTGGATTTTTTCGTAGGTTGTGTAGGTTTCGGAGGGTCGGTTGGTCATCTAACGGCACGAGTTTTTTTTTTTCTCAGCTTTTTACTTATTTCTTTTTCCAGGTCGGTGATTTTGTCAGTTTTTTTCTCCGCTGCGCTGCACTGCGCTATGAATCCTTTCGTATATTTCGTATGTGTATGTCGTGCAGCTGGACTGTTCATCCCAGGGACCCTCTTCCTTCGTTTTTCTATTACCTACCTAGCTACCTCCACAAGGTAGATTAGGGTAGGAAGGTAATAGGCAATGGATTCATTCAATGAATGTATGTTGAAATTTCCCTATGTATGTACGTAGGGTAGCAGGATAGGATAGGTACATGTTAGGTACCTTACCCAAGCTCCAAGCGGGGAGTGGACAGAGAAGCAACCTGCGAAGTTCCGATAGTGCTGGTGATCGTCATTAACTGCAAATCCACAACCGCGCCAAGATGGGGGGGCATAATAGATGGGGGCGTCTAGGCTTAGGATGGGAATAGGGAATTGTCAGTGCTTTTCCTTCTTTTCCTTTCCTTTTTTTAATTAGGTAGATGTATTTCCTCACGTCACTTGTGCCTCCTCCGTTGGCTGGGTCACACCCTTCTGCCAGCCTTGCAGTAGTTAGTCAACTACCTACCCTGTCCTAGCTTACTAAATATGGAGGCGTTCTTCTCTTTGCTCTTTAATTTTTTTTTTTTTTCGTGTTGCCCATCTTTGTATTGGCGTGGCTCCGTTCGCAAATTAGCTATAGAGTCACCAATTTGGCCCTCCAGCCAATCCGAAGCTTGGATCTAGGATTTTCGTTTATATAATCATTAATTCCACCGCCAAGTCTATTAGTTATTAGATACCCGTTAGGTTAGGCAGGTGTATGTATGTAGGTACATACAGTAGCTCATAGATAGGTACGATCTCGGGATTATGTATCTCTATAATCTATCGAAAAAGAAAACTTCCCGCGCGCCCTACTTTTATTTTCTCCTTCTTTACCAATTACACTGCCGATGTACCTATCTTTTTTTCTCTGTGCTTCCTTCTTTTCTTGTCGCTCCCGTGGAGGCGCAATACCGGACGGATGTCGTGCCGGCCCGTCTTTTTTGGAGTCTTGGTTTTTGGTCTTGTGATGAGTTGGTGATGCCCGATATCCTGGTCTATATGCCGAATTGTATATACCCCTATGCAGAAGATATGTTATAATAGGTGGAGGATAAATGGAAGATGCCGAACTGGGATCCAAGAAATAAATAGTTGGTATTTGGGGTCGACGACGTAAATTGGAAATAAGTCTTGGCGCCGCTGAGACCGCCCACCACCATGCTGTGTGCGAGAGTGTTTGTTGGGAATCCGGACTCTAAAGGATTGCGGTCACCTGGGTTACCTTTCTAATGGGGTTTTCTCTTGAAATTCGATTTGGGTTGTTCATGGGTGTCTCTGACTTATTGATTCTTCATTCCTACACTAGAGTAGCAGTCTAATTTGCAGCAAGGGCGTCCGAGATCTGCAGGGTGACGGCGTCGCCGTCACCCCGGACCATGCGGACCGACTGAAGATCCCGGACTATCCAGTCGGGTCCGGCAGCAAGGACTTGCTCGGCCGAATGACTCGTGACCAAGCCTAGGACTTTGCATCCGGCTGCTTTGCCGGCCAGAATGCCCGCCGGGCTGTCTTCAAGCACGAGAACTTGGTCGGATTCAGAAGAGGGAATGCTCAGCTTCTCCCGCCCTAGGTTGTAGCATGCTGGGTCTGGCTTTCCGATTTCTACGGACTCAGCCGAGACTAGATGGGGAGGACTGGGTAGCTTGAGAACTTCGAGCCATCCCCCGACGAGTGGCTCCGTTCCAGATGTCACGATGGTCCACCGCGCGTTGACATTGATTAAGGAATCCAGGAGTGGGCGCGCGCCAGGGATCTCGCTGGCGTCGGCGCCGTGATGCTTTGGGAGCAGGGCCTCCATTTGCCTTACATCTGGTGCGGGTCAGATGCGTTGTTGGCTCAGGGGTAATGAGAGAATAATAGAAATCAGGGGGCTATGAATAAGGCCAGATATTGTCTTGTCGCAGGGCTAGACAGGACAGAGTAAGGGAGGATGAAGTAGAGCCGCAAGGGGTCAGGGGTAAAAAGGGGAAAGGGAGGAATTTCGGTGAATGTGAATCCAAGTGAGAGCACTCCCTTTCGGGGCGTATACCAGATTGACAGGAGGTATATAGTGCAGACTTACATTCCCAATTCGCCTTGTCCGGACTAATCACTTTGAGGGTGTCTATACTGCGTCGGCCGTGCGATGTCTGAAGGATGACTTTAGGGTCGACGCCAATCTCATTTCCGACACTGCCTCCCTAGTTTCTTAGAATCTGGCTTTTACTCCTAATTTCATGATTTTACTACGGAAGAGGACATACGTATGCCAGTGTTTGACGACTGCCGCCGTGGAGTCTATAATTGTTCCATCCATGTCGAACAATAGTCCCTTAAAGGTGACCTCAAACGGAGGTGTAGTATAAGCCATTATGACAATGACTTGTTAATATCGTCGTATGCCGGATATAAGATATCAAGGTAGGTGAGAGGGATTTAAGCCGCAATTAAGGTAGCAATGAATATAACCAATAATAACTCGTTCCCATAAAATTAGAATAGTAGTAGTAGATGATCTGTATCTGTATGTGTCCGATGTAAGTAATCTGATATATGTGTGTGTTGAGTTGAATCTGCATCTGCATGCGTGAACGGATGTGTGAACGGCTTAAATGTCCAAGTTGGGTAATTTGAGGCCGAACCGAGTTAGGAAACTCCGCCGTTTTGTTTATTTTAGTCAGAGAATTTGAGGCTATCACGAGGCCTAAACGACCACTAAAACATTCCCAATTATAAGGGTCTTATAGCGGGTGGATTCTTATCGGGGCGGGCGGGGTTGACCAATCGGTACCTCAGTTTGGTGGGGGGTTCTTGCACTTATCTTGGGCGGTCAGAGATAGCAGAACACTATTTTCCACTAAATTCCTACAATTTTTTTTTTTTTTTCCTGTGCCGTATCACGATAACAAAGATAATCAAGATTCGGTCAATCATTGCGAAACAGCGCAACCGAACATGGCCAACCATATCACAAAGCCAAAGAGTACGTTCAATTCAATCATTCTAATCGCCAATATAGAAATTACTTTGCGACCTATACTAACTTGAGAAATAGAGGCCAAGTCTAAGCGGACACCCGTCCGTCTACGACACAAAATCGAGAAAGCATCCGCCTCAAAGCAGCGCAAAGCGAGAAAAGAAGCGAAAAAGAACCCACAATGGAAATCCAAGCTAAAGAAAGACCCGGGTATCCCCAATCTATTCCCATACAAAGAGAAGATCCTCCATGAAATTGAGGATGGCCGACGAAGGAAACGGGAGGAGCAACAGCGAAGGAAAGAATTAGCCAAGGCTGGAAAGACGGGCGCTACGGACGAGAACGAAGATAATGAGGTAGACGTTGATGGTGCTGAAAATGCCGAGGATTTCGGTGGCTTCGAGGACGATGCGATGGATGAGGATGGCGCGGGTGACGATACAAATCCCATGGCCGCACTTATCGCAAGCGCAAGAGCTGCTGCTGAGAAATACGATCGCGAATTGCAAAGTGGGGATGATATGGATGAGGACGAATCATCAGATGATGACGGTGAATTCGAGGATGGGGCTGTCGAGCGCGCTCAATCTTCGTCTAGAAAAGCGCACGACAAGGTCTTCAAACAAGTTGTTGATCAGGCCGACGTCGTGCTTTACGTCTTAGACGCTCGAGACCCCGAAGGAACGAGGTCAAGGGAAGTTGAGCGCATGGTAATGGCTGCAGCGAGCGGTGGAAAGAGATTAATTCTTGTTCTCAACAAGATCGATCTGATCCCATCCCACGTCCTAAAAGACTGGCTCACATACCTACGACGATACTTCCCTACGCTCCCTCTGCGCGCTTCTGGTTCTGCTCCTAATGCGCAAACCTTCAATCACCGCGATCTTACCGTCCAGAGCACATCATCCACCCTCTTTAAATCCTTAAAATCATTCGCTGCTTCCAAACAGCTCAAGCGCGCAATATCAGTCGGTGTCATCGGCTACCCCAACGTCGGAAAGTCCTCCGTCATCAACGCACTACTCTCGCGCCTAGGTGGTCGAGGCGCAGCTGCTTGTCCCGCAGGTGCCGAGGCGGGCGTTACGACGAGCATCCGTGCCGTCAAAATCGACAGCAAACTCACCCTTCTCGACTCCCCGGGTATCGTCTTTCCCTCATCCCCAGAAGGCTCTTCTTCGTCATCAAAAAAGAGCGCTATTGAAGCGCATGCGCACTTAGTGCTCCTAAACGCTATTCCGCCGAAACAAATCGACGATCCGATCCCGGCTGTGACGCTGTTGCTTAAGAGGCTATCTGCGTCACCGGTATTGCTCCAGAAGTTGATGGATGTGTATGATCTCCCGCCGCTGCTAAGCGGCGAGGATGCCGACGTCACGACGGACTTCCTCGTGCAAGTTGCGAGGAAACGTGGCAGACTTGGGCGCGGTGGTGTGCCGAATTTGCCATCGGCGGCTATGACGGTCGTGACAGATTGGCGGGACGGGCGTATCCAGGGATGGGTCGATGCGCCGGTATTACCGGTTGCAATGACGAGTGATGCTGTATCCAAGGGCAATGAAGAAGCGGGCATGATGCCAGATCAGAAGGAGATCGTTACGGAATGGGCTAAGGAGTTTAAGCTTGAGGGGCTCTGGGGAGATGATGAGGGCGAGGCGAAAGAGGGCGACGCTATGGAGCGTGATTAAGTTGGTGATTTAATCCTTCGGTGGAAGTAGAGAGATAAGAGGGACATGAAATTTCAGGAGTTCCGGGCTACGAAAAGGATATTATGAGCATGTTAATGGCCATATGTATCTACGTAGCGTAACGCAACATAGAAACGGCTTACGTGAATATACCAAATCAAACGCAGACATGGTATTACTTGTGATGCTAAGATGCGATGATAGGCCTCTGAGGGTCAGACTAGCAAGAGTAGAGGCGAAGTCAGGTCAAATCAAGCCGACGCTCTCTTAATCTGAAGATGCGGGTAGTCCCAATGGTGTATGAGGGCTTCATATACATACTCGTCCTACTACCGTCTTCATCATAACTACATTTCGCCTAGCGTTATGAGGTACTTAGGCTCTTTTGGCTAGGCAAGGAGTATTAAGATGCGATAAAAAACAAGACGCGACAGTGTAAGAGGGCCACCACCTACGTGGACCGAGTAGACGCCATATCCGTGAGAGCTTTTGAGAACCATGAGGAATACACCCTTCTCCAATATCACACATTATAAACCCCTCTACACGGATAATGAGATTTCAATACCACGAAATCATGTTTCCCTCGTAATATTTGTTGTTACAGGTAAGTGGTAGAGGCAACTTTCGTGCATTTTACGCTTTCTAGGCATCTTGTCTCTTCACCCACAACCGCTACCGTTATAAAACTTATCTATGGTTATATATCTGTTATTTGATGGAATTACTAGTATTTGGGGTTATATGTTACCATCTCTCGCTACACTCGGTGATAGAGGCGACAGCACGGGAATACAAAGTTTTATATACGACTACTTGATATATAAGGCAGTGGCAATAGGTAGCGAACAGAGTCTTTCGCGACACCATTAGGAGTTTGCTCGGTGGCTACTACCTATGTAATATTTGGAATATGCCCCTAAGTATAGGAGAACCTGTTACGTGCCTGCTTCATGTGCTATTCGGACTTTGTTGCCCCCTTTCCTCGTAAGAACTACCTTTATAAGAGCTAGTATCTCATCTTAGGGACTTAGTAACACTTTATCGACAAGGATGATAGGGGAGGTCACAGGAAACACCTATGAGATCCTTGAGAGATGTGTAGAATCTCTACGAACTCATCCTCGTCTGGGGTTAGGGTCGGGGTTTTGCACCCTCTTTCTTTTTACGATTCCTGACCTAGGTAGATTCTCACCTAACCTCTTTCGTTATTCATAAGGCGTACCAACGACAATCACCTAGGCACCTATAAACTTGTACGTAATGATATATCACTCGAGCTAGTATTCCGTTTACTACTCGTGCTACAGTAGGTAAGCCCCTATATCCTATCACAACAATCGTATGTCAGATCGGATATCCCAACAGCGTCTCGAAAGAGAAACCGCTTACCTTTAAGCTTACCCGCTTATCTATAAGGTACGCACTAACTGCAGCGCTTCCGGCCCGGGCCTTTATAACGTTAACCCCGAAATGGGAAGTCCAAGGAGCTTAAGATACTCCGAGGGGATACTGATCCAAGCTAACCGGATGTTATTAGCATCGAAGGAAGGACATTGTTAGGTCTCGCGAGCTAACAAGGCCCGGAATAAAGACCGATCAAATCGTTAGACGTGTTATTTCCCCAGGACATGATGAATGTTTTGGTCTAAGTCCAGAGCCTTAGCGGATCAGGGACTTATACCGAAATCCAAAAGTTCGTAAAGGATAACACAATTTCCGATCCGTTGCGGCGTACTTCTTCCGAAAGAAGAATTAAAAATATTCTACTTACTAGGACCCTTGTACATGTACTATGGACTAACTCCTACGTTCCAGCATTTGGACTTTAGCCTGCTAGTATTAACGCTTTTATCTATATCAATATTCATTCATAATAATGGACTAAAAGCACGTACCATGACATAATGGCTATAAGTGATGACATATAAGGCTGTCCTCGTTTCGATGGGGCGTTCTTTTATTACGATGTTACGATGTATCTGGGTCTAATCCTAGGGGCCAGGTATCCTTGAACAAGCGGTAGGGGGCGTGTTCGCAGAATCTATAGCGATGAAATCGTGACCTATGAGAGTTACTCAACATATCGGACGCATAAAATAGCAAAGAGATATCGCTCGCCTCTCATCCTCGGATTCGAAATCCTAAAAGCATGAATGGCCAGTCCTTTCGCAAGCCAAGGAAGCTCAAACACATCCACGTCCACTCAAGGACCCTGTAGCCCCATCTGCCACGTTCGGCAAGAACCTTCAAAAATACAGCCCCGGAGCAAGATCGTCTCGCGATCCCGCCTGAATGGTCCGGGTTTACACGTGTCTGTCTGATTTGCTGGGTCCGAGCCCCAACCCACCATCATTTCCAACCACCTATGTCACCACTCCATTACCTGTACCCCCTTACCACACCCCCAGTAAGGCTAATATCCGACGAACCAGCAGATCTCATCACAATAATAAACAACCAAAACGACAATTCCCTGCGCCGTGATGGCCCCCAATTCTACCTTTACTTTCCCCCTACCTAGCAAAATGGTATAAAAAAAGGAAGAGGCGGTGAAACCACATGGCTCGGGCACCCATCACGGACATCCTTGGTACCCAACCAGGACGCAACTGTCCCACGTGTGAGCCATCACAACGCCGCACGCCAGATCGAGCCAAGATGGCTTAAGCGGCGCGCACGTACAAAAAAACGCACGCGTGCGGATGGGGGCTAGAGGTATGGGGTCCCGGTTTATAGTAACTTTCATTAATAATGACGACGATGGCCTGTGAATATTATACCTACCTAGGCACCTATCATCGCTATCGGTATCGGGAACAACACCTGATGTTCGCAATTCCTTTCGGTCTACCCAGCGATTCGATCATAAGTTATTTCCGTCCAGCCAATCGGCTACACGGCACACGAATGGATGTACAGACGGGCAGAATACCGTATGTAGATACTTACATCCTTACACCACAGTAAAAGAGCTATATATAAACGCGTACGTATAAACATGTTACAGAAATGTAATATAAAAACGTCAACTCCAAGGCAGGAAAAGGAACTCTGAATATAAAAAAATCGCTCTTACAAGGATCTCGATCCGTCAGGGCGGGCACGGGGAGGGTGAGCTTGCTACTGCAGGCTGCGCGCCACTGTACTCTAGAATAGCGTCCGGTTGTGTGGTGGCTATGGTGGTAGTTGTAAGTAGTATTTACCTGAATACCAAGCTGTAGCATTCAAAGGATGGAAAATAAAAGCAAGTAAAATCAAGTAAAGCGAGAGAATAATCAAGGATAAGGAATATCCAGCCCTGTCCAGTTATGCATTCTCTCTTATCTACCCAAAAGAGGAAAAATCCCCTCTATCTCGAGGATATGTACCTCTCCCGCACCAACCTTCCTCCTCCACCCCCTTCCCGTTTCCATTACGTCCTGCACGTCAAATCAGAACCCCCAAAGCAGACTTACCTACATAAGACGCATCGCAAGCATATCGTAGCACAACATACATAGTTAATAAAAGGCAAAAAACCACAAAAAAGCAAAAATTCCACACGGCCGAACCCGTCCACTAGTACCGCAGGATGAGCCATCTCCTTCTCGGTAGGGCTGAGTCAGATCTCGTATGGGTAAAGTGTAAAGTGTAAAGGGTTGAACGAACGAAACTAACGTAAGCCCCCAGTCCAGTCCCGTCCTCCCCTCACCCTCCATCCTCCATCCCTCGTGGAAAAAGTTGGGGGAAGAAGGAATGTTCGAGTTGGAGAGGGAGAGTTGGGGCAGGAAAATTGCATGTTCGTTGTTACTTTTTTGGTTGCCTATTTATCTGCCTGCCCGCCGGTCGGTAGGTTGGGGCTTACATCGACTAGGTGGTATACATACACGACCCGTATTATTGCAGTTTATTACGTACCGAGAATATGTAGGTGGGTAAATATTCTGCTTCTCGCCCCAAGCCGTTGGTTCTGGACTTCTGGAACGGTACCTAGGCCGAAGAGCACGTATGTATATAAGGAGAAAGGAGGGTGATGTACATATAACATATACAAAGATACAACATACATCACTCTACCTACTCTACCTCGTTATAACCCAGTACCCAGTTAGCACTTTACACCTAGATATAGTTACCCACATACGCCCTACAGGATACATATGTGCCTCACGCGTGTAAGCCAGTCCGGGCCGCTTCTAGGTAATGTACCTACCTAGGAATGAGCACAAGTATAGGATCCCTGGTCTCGAACGATCTATCCGCAATTGTCCGCTGAGTAATAAACAAGATGCAAAAGTGTATAAGCAGCAGCAAACGTTGGTTCTTTATCTATATAGTAAGAATCTGGGGTCTGATAGGAGGGGGTAATACGACTGTATTACCTACCTAAGTACCTACTACGTACTTACATGTTAAGTATCTCGATGTTTGTGTTATTCTGGGTTTGCAAGTGTCATGTACCTAATCAAGTAATGTATCTGGGTATGTATACTTAGAGATTGTTGGGTATGGTTGATTCTAAGAGCTTGCAAAGGTGAGGCTTAGAGCATATGACATACGATTATCGTCTTCTTACCTACCTAGGTATGCAAGGGGTGGATTTCTGCAGCAGGGCGAAACAGGCAAGCTCTACTTACTGCTTAAGCCTGGTAGATCATGAAAGCTGATGTATCCTCCTAGTCACTCGAGTATGCCTCCGTAAATCTTTGAGTGTCAGTCTCACGTTCCTGGTGCAAGTTAATTATTCCAATTCCAAACGAGTATTGATTTGTATTACCCTGTTGCGCTTTGATGCTTTGCCTTCCGCGCAACTCCGCCTGAGAGTGACTAAAAAACTGTAAACAAGAATCGGTAGAGTGGTCCTCTCCCTCACTCCCTCAGGAGAGGGAGGTAATCCAAGCTCCGTACATAAAAGAATCCCGGTATCCCTCCCTGGTGATGCAAATTTGACCCCCCGAAAAAAAAAAAACCTATGGAAAGAGAAGCATTCGTGGAGAATAGACAAGACAGCCGTATCCAAATTCAATCAATGAGCATGGGTCTGACCGTCTCCCCCTTCAGGGGATCGAATAATCCGTTCGACCCATTGTTGTACCCAAGCCCGAACGGTGGCGAAAATTACTCGAGACCAAGCGGCGAAACAGAGTAAACTCCTCCAATGCTGACTGACTGACTGAAAGTGGGTTACTTCCAATTTCCCCCATGAGAGAGGCAACGTGAAACCTTTGATAGAAGGTTGAATAGTAACAAAAGACGAAGGAGATAACAAAGAATATAATCAGCAAATAACCTCCTTAGCCCATATGACCTAAAAACAAGACAGTACCTCCCGCCAGTTATGCAATGCGACGACCATGAGTGATTAGAGTAGGGTAAGATAATAACAGCCAAGCCGGGAAGCCTCGTCTCCCGGGCGCCCTTAATCCAAGTGTCACGGTTAAGCTACCATATGGGTAGCCAAGAGAGATAATCGTTTCTCTTGGACTCGTGACGGGCGGCTAAGGTAATTCCTTATAGGTAATACCACGCCTAGGGCGACCGGGAGATCGACTCCCGCTGGCGGTCGACATCGTATAACAGAGGGCAAGCGTGTAGTAGCCCCCTGGATCTCGCCTCTGATAATCACGAGATGGTATGTACTCCGCTGTCAGATAGCGGGTTGCGAGCATTTATGGTGTAAAGGGTATCGCAGAAAATAAAACCGACGATTTCTGTAATCGTCTGAAACGAATGGAAGATAGATTGTGAGATGAAATAATAAGTGTAGGAAACGACGAAAAGCCGTAGTGGTATCAAGTGTATATGCAAAATGCCGTCTGAAAATTGAGCTTCGACAAAATGATTGGCTGGCCGTAGTCTCATGATGCAACGTAAAGCGCAAAGCAGTACAGCCTGCCAATTCGTAATGCTGCCCGAACGAACGTGAATCCGGCAAACCCCTTTAAATATGCGACAAAAGACGATCCTCCGACTCCTCTATTGCTGGACCGGGCCGAATAGTGCAAGTAGGGACATAGCCTCACTAAATCAAAGGACCACCCCGATGATGTGAATGCTGGGTATAATAGATCGGTTCAAGTTTCCTCCCATGAGTGTAGAGTGCGAACGGCGACCTTGTGGATGAGTGATAGAATCGACAGCCGAATTTGGCGTCTCCCCTGAGCTCGAGTATGGCCATTTACCCGTGACCTGCAATCCCCGCTCCAGCTCACTGAGGCGGGTTAGCCCACCAAGTCCCGCTAGCCGACGTTTGTGGGTTATTCCACGTAGAAGTTACGGCTGGTCCTGGTCCGGGGTTTTGAGGCATAAACTGTCTAGGTGTCTGTTCGGGAGGGTACATGCCTTGCCCGGTAGTGGGATAGCTCTGGTTTAGGCCCGGCATACCATGGTATTGCATAGTACTTGGTTGCATTTGGGGAGTTCCTCCTGAATGACGGAGCTGAGGAGCTGGCGACTGCTGAGGATGGGGAGAAGGCTGAGACTGGGTTGTATAGCCTTGGTAATGCTGAGGCGTCTGCGGCGTTTGAGGAGGCCCCCACATCTGGTTCGATGAGCCGTAGTTGTATGCCGGGGCACCTTGAGACATGTTATTTGAAGCGCCAGGTTGGATATTGGAAGGCCTCGACTGCTTCTGAGAAGATGATTGCGGCACACCCCGCATTGAAGTCTGGCTCATTGGCTGCTGCGAGTGGATGGACTGCGAGTAAGGTGGTGCGGTCATCATCATTTGTGGGCTCTGATTTGGGACGATGCCAGGAGTGTGCATACTTGCCGAGGCGGCGTGAGGAGACTGGTTCGCACGCGATGTGGGCAGGGAGGACTCAGTAGTGACAGGCTGGGTAGTGGCCGGTTGTTCGTGATTTCTTCTCCATAGATTATTCATATAGTCGGTTCGCATCTCGCGCTGCTGGTTGATGGATCGACTGAATTCGGCGGCATGGTGCGCCTGCTGGTGTATCTCCCCGATGGAGCTGGCTTGAGTTCTGTCCTGGTAGGCTGGACCGGTTATTTCCTGCCGAGGACCTCCTTTAATAAAATTGCTGTAGTCTCGAGTCCTCGTATCGTTAAGATCTGGTCCTACTGTTATCATGGGCATTCTGGTCGAATTTCCTGGCGGTCCCATCATACCTGGTTGAACAAGCGGTTGCGGAGCGCCACCAAATTGGGGGTTATTCGCATAAACAATCTCACCGTGTGGGCCTCCTGGGAGTGGCGTCATACTATTGTTTGCCTCAGCTGCTGCTTCTCTGGCTTTAGATGCGCCTGGTCTCTTCTCCCCCGCAAGGTCGGCTTCTGTAAAACCTTGCTTCCTCGCCTTCTGTTCCCAGTAATCATCGCGCACTCTTCGTCCATTCACTATTACTCTACTCCCGAATTGCCGAAACATTGACCGCGCCGTAACGATAGCTATTTGTCTCGACCTATACGAGAACGGCAGTATTTCTTGGGAGACCAGGTCATCCTTCTCTACTTGATTCGCAATAATCTTAAATAGCGATCTATTCTTGTTAAACAACAAGTACGAATCCCTGTATCCAAGTACTCTTGCGCATTCTGTCGCCAGCATAAATAATTTCTCGCCGCGATTAGGGACAAGGAACGTTCGGCATCGATATTCACGGCCGCCTAAGAGCTGACCATTAGGCAAAACTTTCTTCTCGCCGGACTCATCAATTTCGCGCGGTAGGTATTCATCGTTACCGGGGCCAAGCTGGTCGGTAGTGTGGTCGCGCACGGTCGGGAGTGCCTTCAGAGTCGTCTTAGTGGGGGTTGTCTTTGGCGGAGGCGACGCTTGAGCCGGAGCATAGCTACCGACATGTCCGGGCAGCGCGGAGTTCTGGGACTGCGGAGTATGAGGTGGTATGGACTGCGACATTTGAGCGGGAGGGGGAGGGGGAGGAATTGAGGTTTGATTCGGTGGTTCTGGGACGTCACCAGGAACTCGCGATTTCATCGGTCGGCCGCGTTTTCTAGGCTGCTTTGAATCACCTGCGATGCGACGATAGGGGATTAGCAGGTACTCCCTTGCGGCAGCGCGTTGCACGACAACATGATGTAACCTGAACACATGATGCGCACAGCGGCAAACCGTGGAATATAGGTAGGAACACAAGATGAGATGGGGCCTTACCATCATCTCCGGGGATCTCAGATGCGGTCGCGTCGTGATAGGGATCCGGAGAACGACTTCGCTTGAGACCTCGAGGAGCTTGATTCAATAATTCTGCGCAATTAGGAACGTTAAATCAGTAATCAGCGCCTTTAATGACACAATGACAACAGCAACACGACAGCTAAACTAGGCGGGGCATGATATCGAAAGGATGCGCCGGGTATAAGCCATCGCGACGATGATTGTATGTCAATCACAATCGCGTCGTTCTCGCTAGCTAGGGCGGGACGGGAGGCGACGGATAAATAACGACGATGATGGCGATCATCGGTAGTAAGGAAAGGGAGAGAATATGTGTTCAGGCGGGTAAGGGCGAGGGTAAGCGAGAAGATATCGTGCTTTTCTCTCTTCTCTCCCAGCCTTCTTTTATTCTTTCTTTCAGACGAACAACATCGCCCGCGGGTGTAGTAAGGCAAGGCGCAACGCAAAAGAGAGGAAATAAAAAAGGCTGAACGACGAGACAGGAAAAGGAGAGGCTGTTATTATAAAAAAGAAGACGGTTTAACTCACCAGAATTGAGGGCGGCAGGGTTGATAGTTGCGGGATTGATGGTCGCACCCTCAGCGCCGTTAGGCTGGGTGGAATACATTCGGGCGGGCGACGATGCGATGTTGCACGTCAGGCGGCGGAAGAGACGTGGAGAAAGCTGTGCCTGCAGAGCGACGTGTCTTGATATAGTTGGACTAGAAGAAAAGGGCGGAGGATGGGTGAATGACGCGCGCAACAAGGCGAGGGTAGTAGATCTTGGAAAGATGGCAAGTGTGCTTGCTTCGAGGGGGACGATGCAGGATTACTCGTGCATGTGGTTGGTAGATTGGCGCAAACCCAAGTTCCAAGTCTTCGTATCGTATCGGGGTCGATACCATGGATGTACGGTTATGTATGGTTATGTATGTAGTGTACCCCGTCTGTGTGTGTGCAGAGTGTGCAGTAATGTGCAGTGCAGTATGCGCAGTATGTAGCGCATGTATGATGTACTTATACCGGGGGCCGACAGGTACCTAGCTTCGGTACTACTGCGCTGCGTTAGATGTTCCAAATGTGGGCCACGACCCCGGGCGAAATGATTATGTATTTAGACGAATTTGATCGACTTTGGGGGTTGAGGGAGGGGGGGGAATAATAATGATTGCGACTGTAAATTGTGTAATCGTGTAGAATAGAAGAAATATTTCGCGAAGAGACGGAAACTTCAAAACGAAATAATGATTATTTCGTTTTTCGCGCGCGGAGGAAATTTGTTGAATATTAATAAATCGAATTTCCCTTCGTTCATATTTCTCTTCATGAGCTTCTGTTTCTGCTTCTCCTACTTCACAACACACTTCTTTCCCTACGTCTATTTCTTGGTTTTCCCCAATTTGTGTGGGTGTCTCTTCCCCGTCGTATAAGCTAGGTTGAAGAGACAGAAAGGGCGAGAGAGTTAGAGAGTTAGTGGATGCTTTAGATAGTTCCGGATCCTAGACGCCGAGTCCTTGTTCAGCTGCTGTTTCGCCTCTTGCTCCGAGAGAGTTGCCCCCTTCATAAGTCCGCAAGGCTTTTTTTAATAGTGGGAGGGAGGGGAATAAAAGACTGGCCTCTCTCTCTCTCTGTATGTTTAGAGGGGCAAGTTAGTTGAATAAGAGGACTCCTAAGGCCGGCGACCAAGTAGGGTTATAGGTGTAAGTAAAAAAGCGGCGTGTTGGAACAAACTCCCTTTCTGTCGCCGTCTTCCGTTCTCGATATTAGTCTTACGACAATATCAATGATATTATTATTGACGTTGATATTTTCTTCTCTGCGTTCCTCGTTTCAGATGTCGTTGAATCGTGCAGAGGCCTATCGCAAACCGCAATGATAGGCACAGACAGGGCAGGCTGCGAGTTAGAATCTGGGGTGTGGTGTGGCAGCGGATGGCAGCAGTAGCAGCAGTATGTACAGAACAGAAGTTGATAACGACTGGATGGGAGGGATGGAGAGATGGAGGGATGGATGGGCGGCACCTGTGGGTGGATCGACGGGTAGCCAAGCCCAGATGGTGTCCTGCTTCTCTTGCTTCTGCCGGGCTACCTCTTTCGGGCCAGGATCAAGCAGGTAAAGCTAAAGAAAGTAGACAATAGTGGTAGTAGTTATTAGCTGACTAGAGCTAACCACTAATTCTGCGTTGGATGCTGTGATTTGTTCTACTATGGTAAGCTTCTTCGGTTGCTTGCGCCGAGCTTCGGGTTGGTTTCTCTTAAGAACGGAATCAATAGGATATATCAGCCAATATAGCAAAGCCAGGAAGTAAGATGTAAGATTCGTATGCGTGTTATGCCTGTATACGCATGTATGTGTATGTAGATTATGTATGTAGGTAGGTAGATATATGTGTGTGTGGTACAGAGTGTGTGGTATAATGAATGGTTCTGGGTATGTATGATGGTAAGTGAGAAAAAAATAAAAAGTATGTACGCCTGGCTGGGTTGTATGTACGATAATATGCGACTGAATGCGAACTAAGAAAATGGAGCTTAGGGTAGATAGGTAGTAGCTTCTTTCTTTAGAATCGTCGTCGTTTTGCAATGGCAACTGCGATTGCGCTCTTGCAGGTTGCAACGGTTATGACGGTTATGAGAGGGAAAGAGCAAGACGCGATATGGTATAGCGGCATGTGTATAATGCGGATTAAAGTCAAACGCAAGAGCGGGTATGCAAGTGCTGGATAGGGCCAGATACGGGTTTATCTCAAAAGAGCCCCGCGAACCCGGGATTATAATTAGATGGTGGAATGGGAAGGGAATGGAGACAGGATATGATAGTCGGAAAGCGCGCAGTACCAGCAAGAGAGTAACAAAATGCGACCATAACCCAACGGGGGGATGAAGCAAGATGGCGAATAATGATGAATAACAGTAATCCAGTAATCAGCAACGCCGAGGAGAGTGGCCGAACTGGTCAAGGGTCCATGGACGGGGACAGGGGGGTGACAAGAGAGTTGACCGGGGGGTTCTACGTGCAAGCCCAGACGCAGAACGACAAGGGCAGGGGATGAGCATATGAACAGGGGGGTATGATCCTTGTCTAGAGCAGCTGGGCAACTGAAGGCAGCTGGGGGTTGGGCAAATGAGAGAAAATGCAAGTTACTTCATTCAGAGTGAGTCTTGAGGAATAGATGTACATACCTAACTAATCCGCTAGGGATACATAGACAGATGCATAGTTCGCCGCTAAAGTCTCGGATGTGGCAATAGTCGTTGCAAAGGAGTGATGTTAGTTTAAAAGTGATATCTCTGTCTACCAGTAGTAGGATATATATAACAAGACAAGGCTTGATCGGCTTCATCAATCACGACACGACATTGACCAGTCAGCTGGATGATTTCTTCGTATTGGCAGCTAGCCGAAGTCATTGCTCAGCCTTACATGGCTAGTTGCTAAAGAAGCTAACGAAGACGGAAGACACATATCAGAACACAACTGGCACTGTGAGGTTCAAGCCGAAGATCGTTGGATCGAGATGGAATTGGATTGCAACTTGCAGGCTCAGACTTCCGGTCGATGATGTGATCCGGACTTTGGATTCAACTTGTGAAATAAGAATTTGACTAGCCTACCCGTAGATAATTCATGCTAATAAGCTATTAAATGCCTTATTTGGTAACTATAAGCTACAACTCCTTGTACATACGTCTATAGAAATAAGAAAATAAACAAGAAAGATACATTTGCAATCGTATAATACTTAGGAAGCAGTACAGCGTCACACAACGCGTGGGTAAAGATACCCAACTTGGATAAGCCCCGCATTAGCGTGTTGCTGATTTTATCATCTTGATGATAGCATGGCATGTACTGTATATGGAGATACGTAGTCCTTGTTACGTAGTCCTTGTATGAGAATAGAAGTTCCAAGAGATTTTTACCTATCTAATTACCAGCATAGCAACATGGGTTGGTTAGATGGATGTCCTTAATATTATCGACGCCGGCATACCATTAAAATTAGAAGATGATGAAAAAGAGAGTTGGAAACAATATTTAATAAAAGATAAAAGAGCATTCGAGCTAAGCCGGATCCCCAATGCGGCCACGATGTTACAGTTTGCCCAGTTCTTCGGGTAGGGGAAAACTTTAAATAAGTAAGAATAACTTTCATCATACATATAAGTGCATTCACATATAGGCTTTTTATTAAAAGAAGAAGAAAAAATTATGAAGATTATATACATATACATTACATATATGCCTACATATAAGCCGTGATACGTGCAAGTGTCACGCATAGATAGCCTTACAAGTTGTGCCGCTCGCTGTTTTTGGATTGATTAACCACGTTCACTCGCTGCTACATAGAACTGGGTTAAAAATGGGATCCGTTGCTACATGCGATATGGTATCACATTCGGCATAATACAGATCGCGCATTATTACTACGGTATATGTATGAAAAGAACGTGTCGGACATGGCTAGGCAACTATTAAAGGACCATTAGGAAGAACCTTTTTTACATTTGGGTACGTTACATATTATACCTAATGCTATGTATTATATATCGAGTATCGTTATAGCAGATACATCCATCTATATATGAAGGTACTTTTGTATGTACGTACTTAAGTTAGTCCTATCGGCGCATCGGTGGAGTTGCGGGAAGATTTGACCCGGTCAAATGTTTCAAAACCGGGAGCTTCCAAGGTTCACCCAATTAATTGATTATTGTGGAAGGTGGAAGGGACCGTAAAATAATAGGTAATAATTCATGAATAGAAAAATAGAATTTAGCTCTAGCCTTAAATTCGTGGTATACAAGGTTTCGCCCGAGTAAAAACGGTGGAGCCGCAGTTCCCGACGGATTTTTTTAATCGGCGCTTTTTTTTCATCTTTGCAGCTACCTAGGTACATTACATTAATTGATTAATACTTTTCTTTTCTGCAATAGCTTCAGCTCTTCTTCACACATACATCACATACATAGACCTACATCCACTTATATACCTACACTTGCATCCGCGTATACATCCCCATATACATATACATATATACATAATCAGATGTCTTTTTTTTCCTTCTCGAATATCTGGTCCCATCAGCGCAACCCCTAAGAATTGCCTCTTAGGGAACATTCTACGGAACTAACTGTGGAGCAAGCCAACCGGACAAGCGTGGACAAGCATCCTGATCGACCCCCGAAATGGGTTTCGAGTGTACCCGAGGACAATGCAGAGTCATACGTACCAGTCTCAGACCTATGTAGATGCTAATGTAGATTTACTAGCGATTGCAGTTCAGCGGAGATTGTAAAGTTTTACCAATCCAAAGAAAAAAAAGAAAGGATGAATCGAAAATTGCGGGTGACGGCCGCAGAATCTCCCAAAAAATCATGAAATATGCAGCGAAGACATAATACAACGCGCCTTGGTGCAAGGCGACGGCTCACGAATGGAACTTGAACAAGGTATGTACTGTATGTATTGTCCGTATCTGGTTGGGTATTACATATATGTAATGCATTAGGGAGCTAATAAATATAAGTCGGTAGGTGAGACTATCCGACGGCATCATGGCTAAAGAGGTATATGCTCCGTCGTACTTCTACCTAGAACAATTCCCAACATCATCCTAATAATCAAGAAGAAACTACCTAGGAGTTGTCGTGCCGCCAAAACGCGAAATCACCATCGTGTAAGCAGCGTTGCGCGTCAAGCTGCTATATTTGCTTAGCTTCTGGTTATTATTTCCGAGCTTCCCTCGTTCCCCTTCTCCTTTGATCTTACCTGCATGACCTCATGCATGAAGGGATTCTGAGCTACCTACCAACATCGGACCAGCGTATTCTGTAGACTAACCCAACTGTGTAAGCTGGGCTTACGACATCTTTAGCACTGCATAGCACTACGGAGTGTCAGCAAAGACAACGGTGCATTTTAACACTTATCTACCTAGAACGGCCGAAAGGGCATCAATCATATCCTCTATCACCTATGAGCAAGACAGCCGACCGCCTAGTTAGCTCAGCGATGAGCGAGGCGCGATTCTTATTGGAAATGCCTCACATTTGCATACGCCGTTTAATCAGAAAGATGACCCCTACCAGCGGAGTCCTAATAATAAACGAGACGTCTCAGTCGCCGGCTGCGAGGCTGTCGCCGATAGATAGGGGACGTTGTATGTAGGTCAACCCGCAAGTAACCTTTTCTTTTCTAAATTATTACATACTACCTACCTAGGTACCTAGGTCAAAACGGGTATTCGACTTAAAATCCTCCCGTTCAAGCCAAGACATGTATACCCTCAAGGGTCAAGAAACAATAGCTGGAAGTGGCTTGTTATTACTACGGCTAGCTTCCTTCGTAGCCTGGACCAAAACCACGTAATATTTCGTCAGCACTTGTTCATAAAACCTCCTTCCGCGCGGCAGAACCCTCACGCCCAGCACATGCCAGGTTATGCGTATCCATTCCAATCCATAATTTCTAGGGTGGGAAAGTTGACTCACATTCAAATCCCACCTCATCCGAGAATCGCGAAAATGCATCGCTGCCCCGCTTCAGGAAACCCTTACTTACCACTTCACATGACCTCGAATTTTTAGTTATGACCTCATTAGAGCCAAGGGGATACCCAAGAAGATACCCAAGGAAAGATACTCCGTACAGTATGTAAGTACACAGACTGATCAGATAATCGATAGCTTCGCGGTGGATCGGTCTTGATCATCGAAACGAGTGAAGGGGAAGTTGATTAGTTTCAACACGAAGTACGAAGTGCGAAGTTACTAGCTTATTTCTAGCTCCGCCAGTCCAATCACCGTTCCCGAACTGCCTTCGGAGCCCTCACAGTAAAGTGCTTATTGGCTTACGAGCGCCACACCTCGGTGACGGCAAGTTTTGAACACTCTTCCGGAACATGCTAACTAAGACAAATGACAAGACAACAAGACAAACGGCGTTAACTAGCTATATTTCCAGATTTAAACGGAACTGACCTATTCGGCAACATTGATTCGGTATATCGTAACTAGTACTACTAGACACGGAGACCGGATATGGTGAGGAATCATCGTCACCACATCCCATTCCAGCTTAAGAGACGTAATATCTGGGGACTTATCCGCAAATGTCACATCATGGAAAAAAGATATAACCAAGAGCGGGCCTGTCTCACGTCGATATGGCTCTATCAAGCTTCACGGTTGGGTATTACTGATGCAAATCGTACCATTTCTTTCCACCGCTGAATCCATTGCTTTCATCCGTTGCTTAGATCTTCATCTAACAGGGCGTAACCAGCACGCTATTTGCGCACCTAAGTAGTCTAGATCTTAACCTCTCTTCCCGCTTGGCTGTCAACTAGCCTAGTACTTTTACTAGACTAAGATCTCTCGCTTCGACTTTAGTCTAGTGGTCTTCTAAGCGCCATTATCGTACGTATCGCGTGGGTGCTAAATGATGGGAATTTCATGCACCACTGTTATAGATTGGGCATGCTGTGCTCCTCGTGCATAAGGCGACTTCACCAGATTAGCTTCAAATCGCAGTACTCCTCTGCTTGCGGCGGCGAGTTTGAATATACACAACATACCCACCTCACTGATATACCAGCTACTGCTCCTTCACATGGAAACTGGATCTCGTGTAAAAGGGTCGCCGTACATCATACGGACATTTCTGCGAACACAGAACACAAAATTTTGTGATATGTTACCTATCAAAGACCCATGTCATACCGACTAAAACGGTTAGGTAGGACGAGGCCTTATGCCGTCTTCTTTCTTTCTGCACGATGCTGCAGCCAAGGTCCAGTTACATGTACATAGCTTCACTTATTCGTCGACTTGCATGAGCTCCACTTGGCGCCCGGATATCAGCCTGCCAGCCTTCCTGTCACGAGTCGCTCTATCAGATTTCCACTATCAAACGGCCGATCATCTGTTTTTTTACGACGGGTACAAGAAAAGAAGAATCAAATAAATCGACGCAGCGATCGCGGATCTAATCATAGGATATTGACAGATGTGTATACGATTGCCGATGCATCTATGGTCATTCCGACGTGTGGGGAGCTGCGACGAGCCGGACGAGTCTGAACTCACGGATATCACACAAGCTCACATGGCGCTATGTAGGAAGACGAAATTACCATCGCAAATCTTGTTGAAGAAACAAAATTCAACATGTCAATGTTTCACGATATGCTAGGAGACCCATCAAAAAGCCTGAGATGGAACCTAGAGGGCGTCATTAAGCATCGCGACCAATAATCGGGCGAGCCGGGCTTCAGACGCTTGACCGGCTCCCGTCATGGTCGACATGTGTCGAAACGCGTCGTGATTGGCCTACTTAGGACGATCCCTGCATCTCGTATACAGTATTAAACATAGTATGCGGAAGAGCGCCACAGCTGAAGAAACTAGGCCACAGTAGATAAGCTATATTATACTATAGAAGAGGAGGCTTGAGTACAAGATCTTAGCGATGATCAGGGAATGGACGGAACAGACGGAACGAAAAGAAAAAACAATTATAACATTATTTTCCATACCGAGGACGCACATCGTAAACTTGTGCTCGTATATTAATCTTACTTACAGTTGAATTACCGTCAGATCCGAATCTTACGGACACGGGGACGTTGTTGGTAGGTAAGGTACATGGAAAAACCACATATCCCCAAGTCATCTCTCGGTCGAGCCAAGAAGCATGGCCCTGAACGGACACCGTGCAATACGTATAGCGCGACAAGAGCCCCGGCTTATACCCATCTTATCCCCGGTAGTTGAGCGACCGGGAATGGACGCTCCGTTCAGGTTTCGACTCACATAAGAGCAGGTAGGAGAAATTACCCCTCACTTCACCTCGCGGCCTGGTTCCGCCTACGACATTACTATTCCTCTTGCTATCGAAAAGGAAAAAATAGCGCCCGGGATGATTATGATGCTAGACTTTCTAGATCTATAATAGGCGTCTCGATATAGAGGTGGATAAGGAGATTAGAAACACCCGTTTTCTATAGTCCACCATGTGACCGGTGGAGATCCCTGAATATACGATGGGCCAAACCGTACCGTTATAGAGACCTAGAACGGCTTGGGATTAACTAGTTAAACTGGAGTAAAAATGAAAAGATGGTGTGGAGCGATCGAAGTCGAAGAAGAGTGAATGAGACGTATACTAAACTCCCTGTAAAGTGTAGAGGAGGGGAACACAAAAAGGAGCATTAGGCTAGGTTAGGGGGGTGATGGCGCTGAGGATGAGCTTCTCCTCAGTTTGTTAGCTACCTAAAGGGGGGGAGGGAACTTTCTTGGAGCGACGGTCTTCCCCCGGCGATCATTGGTCGAAGCTATGAGGTGAGGTCTTGTCGGCCAACCAGCTGACACACATGAAGTTCAAGCCTGGAGCCGGAACCCACAGACCATCTGCAAATCATGATCCATCTTGGCGTATATTCATCTCCACTTTACCTTAAATGCAACCGCCCAAGCCGCCCGCGGTCCACTATCCACGCCCACGCCTACGCCCACGATCCCATCCGTGGATCCCCATCTGCCTACTAGGATACCGCACCCCCTACCCCCCCTACACTACTTCCACTACCTATGTACATAGCGTACCTAGTACTATGTTGGTAGGTCTTTTACTAGGATTTGTTTAGTTAGTATGTACCTACAATCTACGCAGTTCTTTAGTGCGCAGTGCTACCATCCATCTGCCACACCTTTCTACTCCTACAAGCACACCTTCAAGTTTGACAGGATAACTTAACAGGATATACTCGCATACCATCGCGTCTTTTCGCGTCGCATCCATCTCTTCTTTTTTTCTTGATTAACTATTAAAATGCTCTTATCTATCTCGTGTTTTATACATGTATGTGGCTTGATCAAGACCCACCCTCACGTTTCTCGAAACCGTCCGAGCCAACCGAGAACATGTTCCCCCAGATCAGACAGCCCTGAACCACCGAGCGTAAGCCTCTTTTCTTGGACACAGCCATGATCCGCACATATTACCATATCCATTCATCTATCATCCCGTGCCCCCCAGCCTCCACATAAACCCATGTGTAGCGAGATAGGAATACCTGATACCTGCGCGGCAATGCCACCACCCATGGCCTTGCACTCCCTTCCCTCCCTCCTCCCTCGGCAGATTCTCCTCAAGGAGTGCACTCCACGATCTGTTTTTATCAGAGAGCTTGCCGGACCACTTAGGGAACGCCCAGACTAAGCCTAACCTACCATAACACACAACTTAACATGAACCTGCTTTGCCTGCTGCTGCTCGTCCGTTGCTTCTTTGCTGCATGGCATGGGCACGACAGAGCGGGAGATTCCCCAGATCCCTGTTTACCCGCTCTTGCAGGCAGACGCACCCACAATTGATCGCTCTTAGTGTAGTGTAAGTCGGGCAAGGTTCTGTTTCTGGGTACATTTTACTATTACGACGATAAACCTGGGACATTGCGATTGTGGAGAGGAGGCACATCCTAACCAAGGTATATTTTTTCCATTTGTTTCTTTCGCTCCAGTGAACTGCCTCGTCTCTGCCGTGTTTCGAGTAAAGCACCCGAAATCTTCTAAATAACATGTTCCCCCATTATTAGCCAATGACGCAATCTATAAGTAAAGGGTGGGTATTTATAGCAACATCGTCGCTCGCGGAAGCCTGTATTTCGGCCGCGGTGGCTTGGCACGACTGTAGATACCTACCGAGTTCTGCAAGTTCAGGGTCTTCTTGTGAGGCCAAACTTACTATGACATGACCTCTTAGTACGACTTCTATTATCGACGTGGATGTAGTAGAACTTGCTGCGGTAAAACATAGGTACGTACGAAGAAGTCAGGTTACCGTTACGTAGCAGTAGTAATAGGAGGTCGGCGGTTCTTCAGTAGAACACGGGATGATCTGAAGATGGGATCTCAAACTCAATCTCATCAGCAACGCTTCGCTACCGAATCATAGGCTTGGCCTGTGGTTTGGTTCGTCTCGTCCATGAACCGGTGAAACCAACGCCATCCGATATGGCAACACCTCAAGGGTGCCACAGCATTCGGACAAAGTTCCTAGAGGTTGGCTGTAGAAGCATGTCTTGTATTTTCTTTTAATTATTCCTGATTTTTCACTATAGGCATGCTTTTTATTCTATTATATTCATTCCTTTTATGTTTTGGAATGGTGGCTGATGGTAATGTTTCATGTTTAAATCGACACTTCGTACTTACACGTCCATGGTCGTCCCCATGCCCACGTACATACGCGCACATACGCACATACGCATACATACATACATGTCTACCTGCTTCCTACTTTGCTCTGCCGAATGGTTCCCAAGCTCGATCATCTTTGAGGTAACCACCAAGAGAGAGACAAGACATTTCGGAAGCGACATCTTCTCCACGTTTGGGGCGAGTGGCTTCGCTAGGATGGACTCCTGTCAAGCCATGTTGAGTCAAGTTGAGTAAAACCAAACTTCGGCTTGTCGACCTACCGAAGCTGCCTCCCATAACATGCCCTCCGAGTCCCCTCCTACATACTCCTCCCTCGCCCTGTCTTGCCCTTCCGGTATCGCTACAGGTTAGCTAGGCATATTTCCAACCCCTTTCTAATAAGCCATCCAAGCAAACAACCGACGATACCTACTCACCCAGCAGGGAACATACACACACATGGCCTACGTAGGCCTTGGTTGAGCAACAATGGCGTACTCTAATTTCATGATAATTTTGCCATATCGTTCGATTTTCGATGCAGTCAACCATCCCCAGACCGTTAACTACCGCAGATCGACCATCTGCCTGCCTAGTTGCTTCGTTCTACATTACCTTTATCCTACATGTAAGATAACCTAAGGTTACGCGGAAGTAGCACTTACTAGATTTTACCTACGTCCCCGTGATGCGCCCCTGCCTTTGCTTTTTCCAAGATTTCCCATCATGGGGATCGTATCCATGGAAATTCGTTGGCTGTCGACGTTTTTGCGCCATCATCGCCATCGTTGCCACCGCGTATCACGGATGTGAATCTCGTAAAACGCATCTGTATAAATATAAAATAGGAGGTATGTATGTATGTATGTGTGCGAATATGTGTGTGTATGTCAATGCAGTTCCCCTCGCCACATCGATCTCAAAAAAAGATACGGGGCCATTTTTTTCACATGCCACTTTTTTTTTTTTGCCCTTGGAAAGCTGAAGATGGATAACCATGCATTGATACGCACGTATGTAGAGTTAGTCTACCATGGCGCGCCCTCACGCAGTTGTCCCGAGAGGGAGAGGAGGCAGATCTCTATCACAAGCCATTCTTGGATCTTGTATGTATTCCTGCCTCCACATAGCCAATCGTTGGGGGATATCTGTGCATACGCGTAAACAAAAAAAAAAAAAATTCATTTTCGAGAACAATGTCTCGGAAGCCTAGATGGATAGGCAGGCGGATAGATAGCATAATAGAGATGCCTAGAACGCCAAAAAACGCCTCCCTACCTATCCACCTATCCTCCCATTGCCCATTGCTATTTTTACGACGCCCCCCGAAAATGGCGTTCAGTAAAATCAGTAGTTTTTACAAAGATCGTCGTCGATCGTTTTCGCGAGACAAGCCGAAAAAGATGTCTCTCACCCAATGAGAAGGGCGTTGCAGCGGACGCGGGAAAATTTGCCGGTTGAATGTGTTATTTTTTCTTCTTTATTTTATTCTTTGTCGATCATATGAGTCAGATTTAATATAGATCCGCAAAACCGCCTGCATCTCGCGCGCTTTGTTCCCCGGGTGCCGTTCGTCGCAACCTAAACCTATAGAGTGCAGACTGCATATACCATAAAAGTAATCAATTTATGTACGGCAAGTCTTGGTAGCATCCTGGTTTGATGAGAAGGGAGGATGCCGGCGGGAGGCGGGCTGAAGGGCTCAAGCGCTCTCAGAGCTAGGGGTGGGGGAGATGATTTCGTCGCGTGTCTACATAGCTGTTTCTTGGGTTTCACGGCTTATGTAGGGCGACATTGTTTACCTTCGGTAAGTCTTTAATGAAGGGCGTTGGCGTTGGCGTTGGAGCTGAGCTGTGTTCGGGTTGGTAGAGTTACATTATATCGGGGATTTAAAACGGCGACCTTGAAAATAGTGAGGATGAATATATTCAAATAAGATTATTGGAAGTAACATAAAGCCTTGTAATCAAATATAGGGATTGGCATTAGCAATATGGTAGAGTTATGAATTAATGAAGAGAAGAGAAGGTTCACAATGCGATTGAATTGTTTAAAGTACAAAGTACAGTTCAAGTACGGACCGGTGACGGGCATTGACAGCTGATAGCACTGTAGATATGACTTATGATAAGATTATCGATAAGATCCACCCAATGACGGTCACTGTTTGATTTTGAGCTTCTTCAATTTTAGTGCCATCAACTTCATTAGCTAATCAATTCGTGCTGCAAACATGAAATTCCCCATCACCAAGTAAAACTAAAAATATCAATAGCAACACCAGACAACATCAGCTCAAGAGATTAGTTAAACGAACTCTGGAATGGCGAGTCTCAAGAGACCCCAGGGTGCTGACCCGAATTCGCCAAACCTCTCCAGCAAGGTCTATGTGAGATCTACCAAGAGCGGCAAGGTTCAGAAGATTGTGCGTGAGGTCTACCTCCGACAAGACATCCCATGTTCCTCTAAACTATGCACAAAGTGTATGGCTACTGCGCCGAGGAATGCGGGCGGTGAATGTGAGTTCCCGTATCGCACCCATAGCCATCATATCCGGGTAGCTAACTTCAATCTAGTAACTCCCTTCGTCCTCTCGGACAAACCCGCGGGGACCAAGTCATATCCCCAGGGACATTATCTTGTTCCAGATACCAATGCCTTACTAAATGCTATGGATCTGTTTGAGCAGAGCTCTGCATTCTACGACGTCATCATTTTACAGACAGTCCTAGAGGAGCTACGGAATAGGTCCTTACCGTTATATAACCGACTAATCGGTCTTACGAAAAGTCAAGATAAACGCTTCTATGTTTTCTTCAACGAATTCAGACTCGAGACATACGTGCCTCGGGAACAAGAAGAGACCATTAATGATAGGAATGATAGAGCCGTCCGCCAAGCCGTCAAATGGTACAATGACCATTTGGGCCAGAACAAGAGCAAAAAAATACCTGTTACGGTCATGCTCACGGACGATAGGTTAAACATCGAAAAGGCGAAGAAGGAAGATATCCCCGCGATAGCATTGCGCGACTATGTTTCGGGGCTCGAGGATGGAGATCGACTGCTTGATATGATCGCCGATTCGCAAGAGCGAGGTATCTCCAGAGATAAGAAGGCGTCTGACTTCCTGTATCCTGAACACTATTCCCTGTCCAAGATGATGACAGGAGTCAAAGGTGGTGTGCTTCATCAAGGAATTTTCAACGTATCTCCATACAACTACCTCGAAGCTTCGATTAAGGTCCCCGCGTTTCCGAAAGCTCTTCTCGTTCTCGGCCGCGAGAATATCAATCGCGCGGTCGACGGAGATCTGGTGGTAGTGGAAGTTCTTCCCCAAGACCAATGGAAGGAGCCCTCAACCAAAATCCTCGAGGAAGAAGCCGTTACGAAAAACGAAAACGCTGATAACGAAGAGGGTGGCGATCTTGTCACGGAACAGGAGAGGCGAGCTCTACAAGAGCAAGTTAAGAAGACCCAAGGTCTAAGCACCGAAGGTCGACCACAACCTACCGCGAAGGTAGTCGGTGTCGTCAAACGAAATTGGCGTCAATACGTTGGTCATGTCGATCCGTCGTCCGTTAGTCAATCCGGCAAACAGGGCCGAAAACAAGAAAGCGTCTTTCTCATCCCTATGGACAAGAAAGTTCCTAAGATCCGTATACGTACAAGACAAGCTGGGGAACTGGTAGGAAAGCGCATATTGGTCACAATCGATTCCTGGGATCGCGAATCCCGACATCCAATTGGCCATTTTGTTAGATCTTTAGGAGAGCTAGAGACCAAGGCGGCGGAGACCGAGGCACTACTGCTCGAATACGATGTCCAATACCGACCTTTCCCGAAGACAGTCCTGGATTGTCTACCCGCGGAAGGTCACGATTGGAAAGTGCCAGCTAGTACGGATGACCCCGGCTGGAGGGATAGGGAAGACCTTCGCGGCCTTCTAATCTGCAGTATCGATCCTCCTGGTTGCCAGGATATTGATGATGCTTTACATGCAAGACCATTACCAAACGGAAACTTCGAAGTCGGTGTTCATATCGCTGATGTTTCGCACTTTGTGAAACCAAACAATGCCATGGACTTAGAAGCTAGTATTCGAGGAACGACTGTCTATTTAGTAGACAAGCGTATTGACATGTTACCGATGTTACTTGGTACTGATCTCTGTTCATTGAAGCCTTACGTTGAACGCTACGCTTTCTCGGTTATATGGGAAGTCAACGAATCGGCTGACATCGTCAATGTGAGGTTCACAAAGTCAGTCATCAAGTCTCGAGAAGCATTCAGCTACGAACAAGCACAATTACGTATCGACGATGCGTCGCAGCAGGATGACCTTACACAAGGCATGAGAACATTATTGATGCTCTCGAAAAAGCTAAAGCAGAAGCGTATGGACGCTGGTGCTTTGAGCCTTTCGTCACCTGAAGTGAAGGTCGAAATGGAATCCGAGACATCAGATCCCATCGACGTCAAGACCAAGGCACTACTAGACACCAACTCCCTCGTCGAAGAGTTCATGTTACTCGCCAATATTAGTGTCGCAGGCAAAATCTACGAAGCCTTCCCACAAACAGCCATCCTCCGTCGCCACGGGGCGCCTCCTAAGACCAACTTCGACGAGCTAGCTAATCAACTGAAAGTGAAGCGTAACCTTGAGCTACGCTTCGACTCATCAAAAGCCCTTGCGGATTCGCTAGATGGCTGTGTGGATCCCAAGGAACCCTTCTTCAACACACTCGTCCGTATCATGGCGACTCGCTGCATGATGAGCGCCGAGTACTTCTGTGCTGGCACCCAAGCATACCCGGAGTTCCGCCACTACGGTCTCGCATCTGAGATATATACCCATTTCACGAGTCCCATCCGTCGATACGCCGACCTCGTCGCGCATCGCCAGCTCGCAGCCGCGATTGACTACGAGCCTATGCACGGCTCCGTCCGCTCACGCGGACGTCTCGAAGCCGTGTGCAAGAACATCAACGTACGCCATCGTAACGCGCAACTCGCCGGTCGCGCCAGTGTAGCGTATTACGTAGGCCAGTCCCTGAAGGGCCGCGTAGCCGAGGAAGAAGGCTTCGTAATGAAAGTGTTCAGCAACGGTTTCGTAGTCTTGGTACCTCGCTTCGGCATAGAAGGACTGATCCGACTGCGCGATCTTGCGGAACCGGAACCTGAGAGCGCATTCGATGCGGAAAGGTACGCGCTTAAAACGAGTGGGAGTCGAGAGGTTGAGGTTCAGCTTTTTGCGAAGGTGTTGGTTAAGATACAAGATGTCAAGGATGAGAGTACGGGGAAGAGAGGCGCGAAGATGGAGCTTGTTCGTGTTCTTTAGGGGTGAGGTCGTCGGGGGTGGTCGTGGCTTTGGGGGGTAATGCACAGTGCCTCAGAGGCAGAAATATAAGATAATCTAAGATCAATCATGTCATTAAGCCATCGCGAAAATAAAAGTGATCATGCAAGCTCATACCTGTGTGTCCTCGTCGGATGTATTCAAGGACTTACTAGAGCGTAATTGACCAGTGCTTGACTGTACATAAGTAGGGGAAATGTAGGTTACACAACTATCAGCCATGGAAGCATGCAGGAGATCGTTCGCTTGCTATAACTTTCTATTGTATCTACCTAGGTAGGTAGTCTTGGTTTGCGACTGATACTTCCCCGACCTCTAATGATTTGCCCTGGGAGGGATTCAGGTATTTGCCTATGCCTTCTCGTGTTTACATAGGCGACGTGCGGTACAACGGAGACGAAGGTGAGGGTTGCTAATGTAGGCGAGTAACTTCTCAAGGGGATTCGAAGCCCATGGATTTACCTACACCATGGATAGCTTGTCTTGGATTCTATTACAGGCACAAGCTAGTAGTAGTTCTCAGGCGAATATGATATCTGGATAGGACTTAAGCACAGATGTCCTGTCTGTGCTGGTCTGACGGCGGGAGATCAGACCTTACGAGGATGCGGTACGCTTTGTTTACTTACGAGCCCAGTTAGGTAGAGACTTGAGTAAGATGAAAAGGGACGAGGCATTCAACTCCTTCACTGGGTCCATATGTACACAAGAGTTCATCTAGGCTTCGTTCTTGACAATAGGTGTGGTATGGATATCCGTCAAGCTTCGGATGGTATCTGAGGAACAGTCTAGATAATTGGTTCACCGGCTGCTGAAATTCTGTGGGCATAGGAGCCGTCATCGTAAACTCCAACACTATGGCCACATACTCGGCCCCAAAGCCCCTTTTCCCTTCTCATATTATGACAAAGGTTAGGACAACACCACGCTGACCCGCGGATCTCGGCCAGCAATCCGAGTCCCGTTTTCCTTTTCATGGGGATGAATACATCCGTATCTGCCTAGCCACCAAGGGATGATCTAACCAGTGATCGTAGTAATCGAATACAATGGAAGCATCCCATATTCCATCTACAGCCTTTGCCTCCTTTTCTCATCGCTATTTAGCACCAAATCTTTCAGCTACACAGGTACACATGTGAAATTCGCATCCAGGTGTCTACCTATCCGTCTACCGTCTACCTACCGCGGTATATCCAGACATAACACCCGCACGAATAGGATCGCCTCCGCGGAACTTACCGTACGGATGCCGTTGTCATTTCTGTCCAGGCCTAGATATTAAGAAGGGCCAAGCCTATCATACATGCATGTGCGTCTCGCCACCGAAATTTCGCAACCTGTATGGGAATTTCGCTATGGTACCAGGTCCTTACTTGCTAGCGATGGAAAGGAGAGAAAAGAGGCAGCCAGGGGCTAGGACATACGCGGATGCACGGCATACTGGCCGCCCCTGAATGAATGCTACGTACGTACGTGTGGATATACATAGGAAGTATTTGCAAAATACGTCCGTAGCGTACCAAGATATGTATCTACACGCCTGTTTCCATTAGCTATATACCTACATACACATATACATCCCCTACCTAGAAACCCATCACCAAAAGTCTCATGAAATTTTATAAAATAAATATCCACCCCATACTACCACGGCACAGTAGCAGTTTTCTCATTCACATCAAATCAAATCAAATATCATAAAAACGGATGATACCGATCTATCTCAATATCAAATTCCTCCCTTCCCTGTCCTCTGCCCTATAACCACCTGAACTATAGCCCATCATCACCCTCGTAGCTTAATCATAAATGGGGTCGGTTGGGGGTCAACCGAGATCATGTCAAGCCCGAAAAGGGAAATGACAGCCGCGAACTTCGAATCGAAGCACTACTCAATCCGGTAATGCATCCACCCAAAACAGTATATTCGCCCGTGGCCGAAGTCCGTAATGGGGGTTTTCGCGTGTTCTTTTTAAGTGGGTTGGTCTAGGTAGGGTAGCCCCCCGGTGGGATTGGCGGTTGGGGTCCGAACACATGCAGCGCTCGAACTTAACATGCTCGTTGTTATTACATCACGGTAGGGGAAAAAAGTAGGTAGACATTGCGAATATGTGGTATGTGCTGCGAAGTACTCGTATATTGATATAGAATATTGTTGGGGGTACAGAGTGGTCTAGATGATATAGAGGGCGGAATTTGCCTTTTACTTACCAACAAGCAGGACCTGGACCCGAATGGCGTAGTGTATTCTTAGTAGTCGTTAGTTATGAGCATGGCAAACAAGGAAATTCAACTGAGGGAGGCTCGGACCGCATAGTTCTAATTTGCGTCATCGTGAGCCATTGCAAACAGACTTTGGAACGTCGGCCTTTCGCGAAGGCTTTAGAAAATCAGCAGGTAGGTAATTGATTTGGCTGACGGGCCGCAACACGAGGTTCATGGGAGTTAAACCGGGTTTGCTCGCGGTTACTGCCTTCATTCCGTTGTTTAGTAGCCTGTCAGCTAGTGAGACTGGTGAGATGGACGCTAATGAATTGGTTTGAGGCACAACCGTTGGCGTAATGAGCGCACGGTCGTGACTTTGATGGTGGATTAGTAAAGATTTTCCGTAAAGAGTAAAGGAGATGTCAACCCTGTCAACCGATCAAGTGGGGATGAGATGGAACGTAAAATTAAAATCTCCGAAAGAAGGTTGGTCTAGAAAAGGCGCGTGCTTGTTGGACTTCGATGCTATCTGTTGAAATGACACCTGTTACTGTGAGCCAGGGGAAATAGGTCCATGGGTAGGTAACCAAAAACCACCCCTTGTCTGTCTGTGCTTCGATTCGGCACTGCAGTCCAGGTTCCTTTAGCGAGGCTGGTCTATCAAAAACACCAAGACTTGTCAAACTTGCAGATGCAATCAATATCTACATACATATATTAGTACAGCCTCTTAATTACGGTCAAATACCAGGTATGTAGTGCACTGCTACGTTAAGTTGAAATGAATATGAATTTATTGCGCACAGACGAGGCTTCTGATCAAGTGAAGCGACGCCTGCTAGCTGTTGCGAAATTACCTCTTTGATATAGCCATTCTCGAAGCAATCACTTCGCAAAAGGTTGGGGGTTGTACAGTAAGGTTTTCACGGCCTAGATGAATGTACAATGTCCCACGGATGTGGATTCGATAGATGTAGTATGACAGGCGCGAGCTTGTCCATAAACCGCTGTCATAAGAGGACAGTTAAAGTATGTGATTCCGTATCCGGCCGGTTATAGTGATCGGAACTGCAGTATGCAGCCCTCTCCCACCAATGTTCGGTTAGCGTCGCTACTCTTCTTGAGCCACAGTTCGACGCAGTTCGGTAACAGTGATTATCTTCGAGAGCATTTCTAGGCGATCTAGTCAGTCAGGCGTTCCTCGTGGAGCGATGAGAACCAATAACTAAAATTATTCAATTACAAACCTGGAAATATCCGGTATATTCACGGAGTGAATGTTACTGCTAATATGTGCTATGTGTCTACGACAATCCGTATATGACGCCGCCGAACATCTCATGACTCTTGAAGCGGAGTCAGTGTGCCGTGTCCCCCGTGATGTACGGTGATGCAACTTGGCGTCGGCCTAGAAAATTAGCAGAGATTTCTTGCCGGACATACCACCGTCTCTGGAATAACCTAGATTTGAAGGCACACATCAATTGTAATCTCGCGATATTGAATCGTGGGGGAAACGGGGCGAGACAATACTACCGGTTGCTGGCGCGATTTGCGACAGACTCCCCACCTAGCCAATGAATGACAACCAAAAAGGGGCAATCTCAATAATCTATCACCATCACCGACATCCGTCTGGAACATCATGCGAAAAAGGAGTCCCTTTCACATGAACGGAGTAAGGGGAACTGAGCCCGTCTTGATCGGCGGGGGGAGAAAAAGGGTTGGGCATCAAGACCGACGTCCCTTACCGCAAACTGGCCGAGACATATTCTCTTCAGGCTTGTCCACTAGTTACGCTTCAAGTCTTCAAGTGAATCCTATGGACCAAGAACCCGGATTGTGTTTCTTGTGTCTCGCGGGGACAGTCATTCCATCGAGAAAAAGGTAGGGTCGCACTGCAGACGTTAGAGACCTGGTGGTGTTTACGGGATTTCTTCATAGAGTATCTCCTATCTTAGGTCTCATTGGCCGGGTAAATTCAGGTTCACTTGAACGCATAATCGTCGTTAGTAAGTGACGAATATTATGGCAACCTTCTTATACGATTAAACTCGTATATCTGGGACTTCTTAGGTATAGGATGGCGTATGGGGGTAGCCCCAAAGTAAAGCGACTAGAGCCTAGACCCTTATCGACAACGAATAGGACGTTGGTTTCTAGCAGAGCAACTTTAGCCATAACAGGACTTTTGTAAAGGTTGCAAGATTTTTTGTTACTAGGTTATTCCTTTAGGGGGCTTTTTGCTGACCCGCGTGACGAATATGATACAGCTGAAAAATACGGCTGAAATCGAAGACACCACTATCGGATCTAGCGCGAGTTATGCGATAGCGGAGAGTATCTATCAAGTTTGAATACCATATTGCGGGTCTGCAAGTCATTATGCGCGTTGATGGCGACAGCGGATACCAACTCCACTTGAAAAATACTTAAGGGTATGTCTCTAGATAGTATGTCGCAGCCCGCGATTTAGCAGAAGCATCAATACCCTATGCGCATGTCTAGTTCGTAGTAGGAGCGGGTAGAGCCATGGACGTGCGGAATACCCGGAAGAGCCCTATTCTGCGTAGGTAACATTGATGGAGAGAGGATCATAATTCATTGCTCACCAACATGTCAAGTTTCGAAGATCCTTGTATCTGTTGAGATCCATCAGCCTTGTCAACTTAGAGGTCTAATACTACCTAGTGGTAGGTTAGATAGACCTTCTATACTGTTTATGGTATAATAGCCGCATGAATAAAAAATAGGTCACGAGCTTCTTATCGAGGGGAATCCTTCAGTGCCTAAATGCCTGATGATTTAGTAGTAATTGTTCTAATGTAGCGTAGGTAGAACCATAACGGCGGGACGTTGGAAGGATTCGGTATGTCAGACTGGCGGTGAATAGTGGGAGGTGAAG